GCTATCCTCCTGCCTCAGTTGCCAAGTACTGGAACTATAGTTGTACCCCCAAACATAGTTTTTACCAACAGCTTCATTGCTTATCAAAAGTGGGTGTCCGATGTGTTCAAGCCTGGGGGTGAGGTGCTCTTAAGAAATGTTTCCAGATATATGTGTGGCCTATTGTCCATAGAGGAGTTCAGACTAGAGTTTGCAAACTGCTAATTCTAAAGAGTCTTTAGATCTCATGTGCTCTTAAGAAATGTTTCCTAGATATATGTGTGGACTATTGTCCGCAAAAGAGTTCAGACTAGAGTTTACAAACCGCTAATTCAAAAGTCTTAGGCCTCATGTGGGAAAAGTGGAACTTAGATTAACATTAGCTCACCTCTCAGTGTGGAAGAGTCAGAAACTAGGCTGGGTCTGAGGTGCTTAAACACCTACGGCATATGGCAGTCTGTGGGCTCGATTCTGACAGCTACCTGCCCTCTTTGCTATACAGGAATAAAAATTATAATTTGTCCAAACATTTTTTTTTGAGACAGGGTTTCTCTGTGGCTGTTCAAACTTTTTTTTTTTTTTTTCGGCTTTTGAGACAAGATTTCTCTGTGTAGCTCTGGCTGGCCTGGAACTCACTCTGTAGACCAGGCTGGCCTCAAACTCAGAGATCTGCCTGCCTCTGCCACGTGAGTGATGGGATTAAAGGCATGCACCACCACCGCCCGGCTCCACCTTACTTTACTCTGAAAAATTCCAGAGAAAACTCTCACTGTACCAGGAGTCCACTGATTTGATTTGGCTGCCTCCAGTAATTGACCTCAATTATTAGCTTAAAGAGATTAGAATCACCTAGAAGCACCACATCTTAAAAACTATTTGCAGGGGTGGAGGTAATGGTGGGAATGGCCAAAGTCAGCAGGGAGGGAAGTCAGACAATGTTGGCAAGGAGAACAAGGGATGCCTCGGGACTGATAACAACAGCCTAGTGGAAGAGTCAGGTCCCTAGACACTGCATCTTGATTCCTGAAGAGGCATTGGCCCAACCTTGTCAAGTCCATTCCAGAAAAGGACACAAAACTTAAGTTCCCTTTGTCCTTACACTTGGGAGGCAGATGTAGGTGGATCTCTATGAATTTGAGGCCAGTCTGGTCTACAGAGAGAGTTCCAGGAATGCCAAGGCTACAGAGAGTAACCCTGCCTTGAAAAACAAATTAAACCAACCAAACAAACAAAAAAAACCCACGCTGTCACTGAGCCAGGCGTGGTGATCAACACCCCGTACTCAGGAGGCTCTGTGGGAGTCGGAGATCAGCCTTACCGAATGAGCACTAGGTCAGTCAGAGCCGTACAATGAGACCCTGTCAAAAACAAAACAAAACTGTTCTTAAGTTGCTGAGGAAGCAGTTTCTGGAACCCACAAAGGAGCACATGAAGGCTCTCCCCATTGCCTCCCAGATCTATGCCCTGCCTCAGCCAGGCCACTCCAGACAGCACTTGTCAGCAGCACAGTGACGGCTGTTTCCAGTTGCCTCACAAGCTGGGATTCCAGACTGCCCAGAGCCCAGCAAAATGACAGGGGTGGCTGGCATCCCAGGAGTTTAAACACCTCATCTCCTATCCGATGGCTTCACTTTAAGAAGTAGCTTTCCTGGGGAGGGGAAGGTAAGCACCTCTGCCCGTACCTCAGTTCTCCAAGGCAGGGTGTATCCTGAGGTAAGGGAGAAGCCAAGAGGACCATGATTGCTTAGGACGCCGTCTTCCTTGGGGTGGATGAGAAGACTTCTCTTGGGCAGGACATCTATCTCAGGTCTTTATCAATGTCTTCTACATCCCCCTCCCCACCTCTCAGCTCTTGGACAAAATGAGCTGAATGTCCCCTGCTGGAGGCTGAGAAGACAGCATGTCTAAAGGTATCTGACATACTAAGTGTCCCATGATTGCAGCTGTGACTACGGCTTAAATGGGGAACCATATGACCACGAAGTTGGGTAACGATTTCCTCTGAGATCAAAACATTCTGTCCTATAGGGAAACTCCTTAAGCAGGAAGGTAAGCAAGTCAAAATAGCTTCAGGAAGTCCCTGAAACTGAGCAGATTCACTAGGGTCCCTCTCTGCCAGAGTTAAAAAAAAAAGAAAGCTGAGAGTCCCTCTCAGAGAAAGTGATGCACAATTAAAAAAGATTCTGAGGGGATTAAAGCTGCAAAGAATACTCTCAGGCAAGAAGAGCTGCCTGGAAAAAGATTTAGAGCAGCAGAGGAAACTGGAAGGCCACTCTCCAACCCGATGAACTGCTTTCAGGCTGTACAGTGTGCTCCGGGTTCCCTAGCTTTGTGAATTGTCACCCATGCTCAAATGGGCCTTGGTGATTTGTCTTTGAGTCCTTTCTGCTCCTGTAAGTAACCCCTATAAAACTCTTTCTTGTTGACAGAGGTCTCTGTCCCACCAGGTCCCACAGCCGTTCAGTCCCAAAGAAAGACACAGAGGTCTATGTTAATCATAAACTGGTTGGTCTAGTAGCTAAGGCTTCTTATTAATGAATTCTTTTTTTTTCTTTCGAGACAGGGTTTCTCCGTGGTTTTGGAGCCTGTCCTGGAACTAGCTCTGTAGACCAGGCTGGTCTCGAACTCCCAGAGATCCGCCTGTCTCTGCCTCCCGAGTGCTGGGATTTTATCAATGAATTCTTACATCTTACATTAACCCATTATTCTTATCTGTTAGCCACATGACTTGGTGCCTTTGTCAGAAAGGGATTCTCATCTTGCTTCCTCTGTGGCTGGCTAACAACTGCAAACTGACTCCTTCCTCTTCCCAGAATTCTCCTGTTCTTGTAGCCCCACCTCTACTTCCTTCCTGGCTACTGGCCAATCAGTGTTTTATTAAAATACATTTGACACAGTACAGACCATTGTCCCACAACACATTCTTTTTTTTTTTTTTTTTTTGGTTTTTCGAGACAGGGTTTCTCTGTGGCTTTGGAGCCTGTCCTGGCACTAGCTCTGTAAACCAGGCTGGCCTCGAACTCACAGAGATCTGCCTGCCTCTGCCTCCCGAGTGCTGGGAGCCCACAACACATTCTTTCACCAAGTTGGACTTTGGTGTTATATATACATATACATTTGCTTGTCGTGGGTTTTCTATCCGGGGTAAATAGACGAGCTTCCTGGCTAATTTTATGCCAGCTCAACACAAGCCAGAGAGGGGGGAGCCTCAACTGAGAAAATGTCTCCCTAAAATCCAGCTGTAGAGCATTTTCTTAATTAGTGGTTGATGGGGGAGGGCCCAGTTCACTGTGGGTGGTGCTGTCCCTGGGCCGGTGGCCCTGGGTTCTGAAAGAAAGCAGGCTGAGCTAGCCAAGAGTAGTCCAGTAAGCAGCACCCCTCCATGGGTTCTGCGTCAGCTCCTGCCTCCAGGTTCCTGCTCTGTTTGAGTCGTGACTTCCTTTGCTGGAACAGTGATGTGGAAGTGTAAACCAAATAAACCCTGTCCTCTACAAGTTGCTTTGGTCATTGTGTTTCAGTGCATCCACAGAAACCCTAAGTAGGAGAATAAGTGTGTTTAATCTCCCCAGGAAAAGTCTTGTCACACAACACAGGGACATCACCAGGTTCCCTCCTGTCCAGGGACAATACAGACAGATGACAGAAGTAAGGCAGCCCTGGCCCTAGCTCTGACTTCTCTTAGATCAAGGTGAGGGTGAATGATGTGTCTTGGGTAAGATGGAAAAAATCTCTGCTCTTGTCTGCTCTGATCCTAGGGCAAGTGAATGCCTTTTCTGAGCATCCAGTTGCTTTGCTGTGGCACCAGACCACCTGGGCTCAGAGTGGGCAAGAGCTTCCTGTCCCTTGCCTACTTTCCTGTACATTTGCAGCTCTGTGCCTTCTTCGGAGTTCATTTTCCTTACCCTGATAGATGCTTGTCTTGATAGTAGTTGTCTGTTTAGTGGGGACTCTTACACGACCCTTCCTCCACCCACAAAGCCCAGGGCCTAAACTATCAAAGCCACAACCCAGCATAGCCCAGGGCACTCTGGACAAGGGTAACTGCAAAATGGGAAAGATAATCACTGCTCTACCTGCTTCACAACAAACCCCATGGAAAACTAGACCTGTACCTGACGTGTGCACTCTGAATTACTCCCTCCTACTTTTCCCCACAATACTGGGAACCAACCCCAAGCCCCAAGCATATCAAGCAAAGCTCTACCAATGAGTCATGCCTATGGGTACACTGTCAATCAAAAGAGCCTGCAATCACATAGGTCCTTTTTACTCAAAAAAATTTCTAGTGCCGGGCAGGCTAGCAAACACCTTTAATCCCAGACTCAGGAGGCAGAGGCAGGCAGATCTCTGGGTTTGAGGCCAGCCTGGTCTATATCATACTCTTCAGGCTAGCCAGGACTACATAATGAGAGCCTGTTTCATTTTTTTTTCCTCGAGAGACGTGGTTCATCTAGATTGTTTTCTGCTCTTCTGAGGGGACAAAGCTAGAAGACCTAAGTCCTATGGCAGGAATCCTTGCAGTTTAGCCTGAGGACAATGAAAACTACTGACAATTCTTTGAGGTGTGATGGGGTTACTCTTACTTCTTACTGCAGGCCTGAAGAAGGAGGGCAAGTTCAGGAGAGCCAAGTGAGAGAGAGATGGGTCCAAAGCCCTAGCAGGACTGTTAGCATGACTCACCAGCTAGGAGTGATGGTGCAAACCCCAAGCCCCAAGGAGGTTGAGACAGGGCAGCCATACATTTGACGCCAGTCTGAACTACATAGTAAGAGGACCCCTGTCCTCCATTTCAAAAGCAGGAGAAACTTCAGGGGAGAACATGAGGTGTAATCCCTTCTCCAGAAAGCCTCCCCGCCTCTGCTGTCTGTCCTTACCCTGGGTCTGCTATGATCTTGTCAGAGGTTCCACATAACAAACAGATTATTCAGTTTGCTCAGTGCTTTATTGAACCAAGGCCCTAACAGAGGACTCCCAGAGGCCTTCCAGCATGACCTTCCCATATGTAGACTCTGAACCCAGAGGTTGCTTCGTTTTTTATTTAGCTGCTTCTACAACAGTGTTCCTTTAATATTTCCAAATGCTAAGTATAAAGACTTTGTACACACGCACACACACGCTCCTGCCATAGGCCATCATGCTCACCAAAATCCTTCCACCCATTCTGTATGCAAACGTGTGCAAGGCACTGTGCATCCATGACCGCCCGGCCTCCTGTCCATCTGCAACAGGCCTAGGCTCGGTCACTAGAACAGCAACACAGAAAACACAACAACAATAACAAACCCGACATGCATACTCAAGAGGTCTTCTGGACCAGATGTGGGAAAGAGAAGACAATGAACAAAAGGTAATGCTTAGAGACTGGTCCACTGCCCAGCAGCTTTGACCAGTGAGGCTCTGGGGTTCGCTCTGGGGATGAGGCTTCCAGAGGATCCTCAGTCAGGCCTTTGGCCTTGCCTTGGGGACATTAAAGGAGACGATTCCTTTCTGAGTAAGTGATATTTGAATCTCTAACCCCCAGATGTATGAGGGAGCCTACTCAGCTGTCAGTGTGTCCCCAAACAGGCTAAGTCAGACAAACAAAAATAAAAGCTACAGGTAAGACAACAGGAAAAAGCCAGCGCTTATGTTTCCAATGAAGGTGCCCATGTAAAGGCCAGGAGAGGAGAGCAGACTCAGCCCTGTGCAGAAGCAGGGGTAGCAGGGGTAGCAGGCTGCTTCCAGACCACCCAAGGAGCTACTGTGCTCGCCCTAAAGGACTGAGGCTCTCCCCACAAAAGGGGCTTTCTGAACACAGGAAGACAAAGAGTTAACACACACACACACAAAGAAAAAGGACTGTAAAAGGCTCCCATGAACACAAAGCACTTTCTTCTAGCTGGTGTCCATCCATCAGGCTGGGCTCTTCAAGATGGAACTGGCACCAGGATTTGGAAAATTAGTGGAATGAGACGGGAGAATCAAGGACAGGGACAGACAAGAGGTGACACCACAGCATCCTCCCAACCCCCAATAGCACCTGAGGCCTCTAACAGGTAGGTGACCTCATAGGCCCATGGGACCCGCTGACTTCCAGGCCCCATGAGGTAAGGACGGCAGCAGGACTCATGCTGGCCCATCACTGGTCTTGCAGCCTGCTACAGAGCTCCCTCCGGCTCCGCTCCCCAGCCCAGCTGCGTGTCTTGAGGCGGAAGGTCCTCAGCTCATCCCTGAAGGCCTCATGGTTCATGGGCCGGTAGTTCTGGGGCTCACAAAAGTTCTAAGGGAGGATGAGAAGATGTAAAGAGTCCATTAGATTTGGAAAAAGGTAAGTTGTGGGGGCGGGGCAAGCCTTTCCTTCTCTCTGGCCTACAGCCTGGCTGGCCCCTGTCCCTACAGTCCTCATCAGGACAGCTGTGGCCATCCCACCCATGGTACCGGATGCTGTGGGAAGAATTCCTTGTAGCCGCCTTTGAGGATATACATCTCAGGGTAGTACAGGCTGGGGTAGTTGTTAGCTGCACGGTCCCGTTCCCTGACAAACCGGCACCTAGAGCGGCATGGGAGGGGGTTCAGGGCAGGATACACATGTCAGAAAGAGACTCATGCCCGTACATGCTGCTTTGAGGGTCTCCAAGGGTACAGGTTCAGAGCACAGGAACGTCATCTACTAGATAGGAGACACTGGGTGAAGACAGTTAAATCAGGAGTGGCCACTGTTTCTGGCAGGTACATAACCTTGGTTGGAGCACTCTATGGCATGTACCAGGAAAGAGGAAGCTAGAAAGGCGACCAGTGAACACAATACAAAATCCACTTAGAGCCAGCCTGGTGGCACAAGCCTGTAGTCTTAGCTACATAGGATTCTGAGGCAGAGGGATTGCAGGTTCAAAACCTGCCTGAGCCACAAAAAGAGCTTAAGGCCAACCTGGACAATTTAGGAAGGAAAACCCTATCTCAAAAAAAAAAAAAAAAAAAAAAGTGGGACGTGTAACGCCCTCCTCGGCCTTCTGTACACATGTGATTATATCCCACATATATGTATACCACACAAAGGCATTCACATACCAAATTACATATATACATATATATATATTACATATATATAATTTGAATTGAAAAACCAAAAAAATAAAAAAATTAAAGCTAAAAATACCGTTTTTTTAATTTATTATTATAATTATTTTGTTTTTTTGAGATAGTGTTTCTCTGTAGTTTTGGAGCCTGTCCAGGAACTCACTCTGTAGACCAAGATGGCCTTGAACTCACAGAGATTCTCCTGCCTCTGCCTCCCAAGTGCTGGGATTAAAGGCGTGCTCCAACACCACCCAGACTAAACATAAACTTTGTTTTGTTTTTCGAGACAGGGTTTCTCTATAGCTTTGGAGCCTGTCCTGGAACTCCTCTCTAGAGCTTTGGAGCCTGTCCTGGAACTCCTCTCGTAGACCAGGCTGTCCTCAAACTCTCAAAGATCCGCCTGCCTCTGCCTTCCTCCTGAGTGCTGGGATTAAAGGCGTGTGCTACCACTGCCGGCAAAAAATAAACTTTTTTAAAAGGGGAGTGGTGGTGGTGAGATGCTTCACTGGGAAACCTGGGCTCGAAGTCTGAAACTCACGCAAGCATGGAAGGCGAGAACCGATTCCATAAAGTCATCCTCCGACCTTTCCATGTTCACCATGTACATATGCCTTCATACAACATACATATGTTCATACAACATACATAGCCTTCATACAATATACATATGCGTGATCATTTAAAAAATAATAAAAAGTAAAGAGAGGGCTGGGGGGTAACCCTCCCTGGTAGAGTGCTTCCCTAGTGTATGGATGGCCTGGCTCAGTCATCACAGCAACAAAACAGAATCTCCTGGACCAGATACGGTAAGGACTCAAGGGAAGAAGGGGAAGCAGGGACAGAGGATCAAAGAGTGAAGCTCCGTGACTGGTCAGCTGCCTAGCAGGGGCCATGTGCAGGAACCCCAGAGGCAAGCAGAGCAGGGCAGGGACGAGGCTCCTGCAGATAATGGAAAACACCGACTCCAGCCTGCTAAGAAGCTACCAGCTGCCAGATGGAGCTGGTGACCACCCTGGACCAGGTGGCAGGGGAATAACCAGACATGATCACAAATGGAGGGAGAGGAAAGATGGGTGAAGGAAGGCTGAGGGCCCCAATGTTAGCGGGTGAAGGAAGGCCGAGGGCCCCAGTGGTAACCATCATGGGAACAGGATACCAAAGGCCTGAGTGTCACTGAGAATGTGGCTTAGAACAGGGTCCTCAGATTTTAAGGACACTGCTAGACTTGGCATCAACTTTTGTGTGGGTTCAACAGTGGATGAAGGACGGTCTGATGAGGTGGACAGAAAGAAGGGAACAGGAAGATATGCTGTCTGTAGCAGGAGAGTGAGGTCAGTTCTAAACTATCAGATGCAGCAAGAGGTTGTAGCACTCAGCTCTGGGCAAAGAAGGCCAAAGGTGGGCAGAGGCAGGACTCACATGCGGGGCCCACGCTCAGACGAGAATTCACAGTGGAAAATGAGGATGATTCTCTTGTCCAGGCTACAAGGCACGATGGGGCGCTCTAGCAGGAAGGTCTCGACATCCCGTTCCAGAGGCAAGTTCACAGCATTCTGTCAGAGTATTGGGGGTCAAGCTGCAGTCTGCACTGGCCCCTTCTCTTTTAGTTCCCAGGTTAGTAGCCCCATCTTCCCTTGCTGGGAAGAGCCCTCCCCATGAGAAATACTCCACGGAAGGCTATTCATCCTCTTGGCAAGGAATCTGAATGGAGGGTTTGGCCTTACCAGTTGCTGCTGTCTCACCTTGATATGCCCACCTTCATACTCATAGGGGTATCTGCAGTCTACAACTACAAATTTCTCCACGATGTTGCTGAACTTGCCTGTCAACAGGGCCACCATCTGCAGGAGGCCAGCAGAGTTGGTGTCAGCAGGTGAGGTGGGCAGCCCAGGTTTGCCCTGACTCTTGTGCTGGTCTGTGCACTCAGTCTATCCCCAGGGGAAGACAAGAGCCAGAAAAGGTGGTCCCCAATGCACCTTACCACCTCTGCTCAACCCTGCTTACAGTTTCTGGGGAGATGTATTTGAGGTCTTGGTGTTTGCCATCCACAGTCTGCAGGAGGAAGGCCTGAAGGGAAGGACACGAGTCAGTCAGGGGAAGGCAAGGCAGCGAGACCAGGAGTCTGCAGAGCACAGAGGCCTTCAGATTCAGCTCAGAGTGCAACCTCTGGGGGCCCACATCCAGGGAACAGTCTTCGGAGGTAAACACAGAAAGGAGAAGCCCTGGGCCTTCCTGTTTTGGGTTTGGACGTGGAGGGGTGGGCCAGGAGACTGCATACCAGATACTATTGGAAATGTTTTTCAAGACTGAGATATGTCAGATGCCCGGACAGATTTGAGATGGCGTCAGGAGGAGGGGAGCCAGAGGGAAGAGTCTGTATGAGAACAAGAATGAAAAAGATACAAGAGAGCCGGGTGGTGGTGGCGCACGCCCTTAATCCCGGCACTCGGGAGGCAGAGGTAGGCGGATCCTTGTGAGTTCGAGGCCAGCCTGGTCTATAAGAGCTAGTTTCAGGACAGGCACCAAAGCTACAGAGAGACCCTGTCTCGAAAAACCAAAAATAAAAAGAAAGAAAGAAAGAAAGAAAGAAAGAAAGAAAGAAAGAAAGAAAGAAAGAAAGAAAGAAAGAAAGACAAGAGAGAAAAAGGGGCCTCTGGGGACAGAGAGCTCCTGCACTAGGGGTCCAGAGCAGATCAGAGAAGAAGCCTCCTGAGGTCCTATAATGCTACCTTAGAGTAATCTCCGATCAATTCACGGTGGTCACTGTCCAGGATGCTTTCAATGTCATGACACAGGGACTTTGAGCGGAAGACGCGGGCCTTCTGGAAGGCAGGGCAGACGGAGGCCAGGTCAGGGGTGAGACTGCCTCTCAGTGGCATGTCTGCCACCCTCTTTCCCTGTCACATGAACCTGTACACCAACTACATCTTGCTACACATTTGGCCAAGAGAGTACACCCCAGGCCATCTTCAGCCCAAACACACCCCCAGGTGAGCAGAGACAGCCCAGCCCCAGGAAGAAGAAACTCACAGGTTCTTCAGGCTGCTGCTCTTCCAGGGGTGTCATGCTCTTCCTGCGCTTGCTCTGGACAGGCGTGTCCTTGTCCTGGGGCCGCTCGAGCCTCTTGAGGATGGGCCGGATGACGCTGCACGGCAGGGATGGAGAGCGGAAGAGCCGCTGGCACTTGCTGAACATGACAAGATCCTGGCAAGGGCAGGGTGGCAGTCAGGATGCATAGTCCCTCAACTCCACGTCCCTAAGCTCCGAGGGGCACTCCCGAGGCTCACCTGTTCCTCTTCCTTATCCAGCTTTTTGACGAGTGGGGCACTAATGAGGTTCTCCATGCCTGGGGGGACTACGTCATCACCCTGAGGTCAAATGAGCAAGGACATCAGTCACAAACGTAAGCGCGGACTAAGCATCACAGTCTTCCCTTGCCCACTCTGTCAGAAATGCTAGGCTGTCTCCAGCCCTGCTGACTCCTCCCATCTATGGCAACTCCCCCTCCGCCCCCCGCCCCAGGCGCCCGGACATAAAGAGCTGTGGGGATCCACCTGCTGCTGGGGCATGCCCTGAGCCAGGAGAAGTACCTTCATCATGCCCAGCCTCCATTCCTCCGCAGCACCAGCCCACCTGGTCTTCTTTGGTTGACCACTATCTCAGACTCTTACTCAGTTCCCTCAAATTCTTCTGGCATTGGGGTGAGGTCATAGTCTTGCTGAAGCCAGAGCTGTCCTTTTCTGGACTAGCTGAATGGGGAGCAAGCAGGGGGCCTTGTGGACCAAGGCTGTTTACCTTTAAATCATTCTCCAGGATGTCCACAAATCCATCGTCTTCTTCAGAAGCCCTTTCAATGGGAGTCAAGAAAGAAGAAGGCTGGGCCACAGGACTCAGCTCCTCTACTTCCATCTTCTGTTCGGGGGTCAGACACTGTCCAAATGACAACAAGCACAGAATATTCAGAGGTGGGGGCTCTGCCATCCCTTCTGAGAAGCCTCTAGTACCTACGGGCAGGGGTAGAGAAGCTGGACCACTCTTTCTTTCTCTCACCGTCTCTTTAAAAAAAAAAAATCCTTTTAGCTTTTATTTGTTTTTATTTTGTAACCTTTATTTTATAGATATGGGTGTTTTGCCTGCACATATGTCTGTGGACCATGTGCCAGCAGTGTCTACAGAGGCCAGAAGAGGGTATCAGGTCCTCTGGGACTGGAATTACAGAGGGCTGTGAGCTGCCCTGTGGGTGCTAGGAATTGAACCAGTTCCTCTGGAAGAGCAGCCACTGAGTCATCTCTCCAGCCACCACCACCTCTCTCCTGAGCTGTTTGTTTCTTGAGGGTCCTACAGGGGGTCAGTTCTCCTCACGTACCATCAAGTCAGGGGCTGAGTTTGGTCTCTGGGCAAAGGCCTCTCTGTGGCTGGCCCACTCTGCCAGAGCTTGGGCAGGGCTGGGATGACTGGGCTTCCATGGCATCTTGAAGAAACATCCATCCTGTGGGCAGGATTGGAGAGGAAGTGTCAGAATAACTGCAGTGCGCCCTGCTCTCCCAACCTCTCCTGTCCTCGGCTCTGGAAGCACACATTTTCTTTGTCCTCCCCAGGGCTGTTGGCAGATCTGCAGCCTGCCTCATTTTTCTTCCGGTTGTCTAGTGCTTGGGAGTTGGTGATGTTCTGTAGCACAGGGCTGTGGTCCAGCAGCCTTACCTAGGGAATCAGACAGGGCAGTAAGAACTGAAGCCTGTACTCCTGTGATCACCCAGGCCCTCCCTACCTTCTGCTACCCTTCTCCAGTCCCTAGGCTACTCAGCCACCAGGGGAAACCCCAGCTCCCCCAGGCAATCCAGGGCTGCCTGGCTACTTCGAGCACACTCTCCGAGAGGTGCCCCCAGGATGTCCATGCCAGCCGGGATGCCTAAGAGGATACTCACAGGCAAGGACCAGAAGCGTTTTATGGTAAACTGCTCACTGAAAAAGAAAGAAGGACATTTCAGAGCTGGCAAAATGGGGGCCAGTGACTTAAAGCAGGCAAGATCTCCTTGCACCCAGACAACAGCAGGAGGTGGAGAAGGGTAGACAGCACTCACTTTTGAATGACCCGACTGGATGCCTGAATGGTTTGCTCAAACCTAGGAGAGAGAAGTGATCCATTTCCTCTGTAGTCCACCATCTACCTCAACCACCAGGCCCCAGCCAGGCCCATCCTCAAAGGGCCAGCCAAGAGAGCAAGGACAAGGGCCTCTGGCCAGGCTGGGGGAAGAGGAGAGCAGAAAAAAAAAAAAAAAAAAAAAAAAAAAACACCACTATTGGCGGGCCCAGGTACCAAGGATGAAGAATTTGAGGCCGCCTGGGATTTAAAGGCTGCCTTGAATAGAAGCAGGCCTAGAGAAAGGCGGTGATGGAGACAGCTGGGGCAGGTCACAGGGTCATTAAGACATCACCAAGGCAACAGTCTCGCCAGCCTGCACCAGCTAGCACAGGCCTTCCACCTGTATGCAAATTACATTAGTGGGGCCATATGGCCACCATGAAAGGCATTGATCCATCCCATGACAATAGGCCAAAGGCACCCTGTAATATGGGTGATGCTGGGTGGGTGCCAGCAAGGCTGGTTTGCTGGGTTTCCCTTTACACCAGGTAACTGGTCTGACTTTCTCCGGGACAGCTCCCCCCACCCCCTTTAGTGTTTTTCTGGATCAGCCTAGCAGAAACTCCTAGTGACAAGTATACGGGTTACATCCTCTCCTCCCTCCTATGGAATTTCTAAGACTCAACCTCTGTTCCACCTCCTCCTTCTGTCTTAGAAAAGGCCAGCCAGCAAGGAATTCCAACAGATGTTCCTTTTGAGGCTGAGGCTTAGGTTTCTGCATACAGCCCTGCCTTAAAGCCCTGCTGCTGGAGACCACCTGTCCATGTGTGCTTGCACACACACACACACACACACACACACACACACACACACACACAGCAGCTTTTTTTCTGAGAAACTAAATAGTCAAAAAACAAGTGCAGGCCCCTAAGAGGGGGCCTCTGTGCAATCCGCCTGGTATCTATCATTTGTAGCTGGGTCTCCCGGGTGAGGGATCTGTGTTGTCACTAAAACCAAACTCCACTCCTCCCACCCCCACCCAATTCTTGTTTCCTGTTTGTGAATAAACCCTGAGCAAGGCACAGTCTGATCAAAGGCATCAGGAGGAAATAGTAACCTCCGCCCTAAACCAAAAGGGCTGGCTGGCAGTGCCCAGCTGTCCCTCCTAATGCCTGACAGCTACTGCAGCAGCTGGATGGGAACAGGTGTTCTCTAGAAGGCATAACTTGGGCCCATAGGCAAGGAAGAAGCGTCTGCCCAAGAGCAAAGACCAGCTTTCTCTCTCCACTCCCTAATGCAAAGGGCCTGGTCAAGGGTTGGCCAGGAGAGTCAAGTGTCAAAGCCAGGGGCTGCTGCTGAGCCATGCCAGTCAAGCCAGTCTGCAGACACTGTTTTCGTTTGGTCTGGGGTTTTTATTTTTTTTTATTTATTTATTTTGGTTTTTTGAGACAGGGTTTCTCTGTGGCTTTGGAGCCTGTCCTGGAACTAGCTCTTGTAGACCAGGCTGGTCTCGAACTCACAGAGATCCACCTGCCTCTGCCTCCCGAGTGCTGGGATTAAAGGCTTGGTCTGGGTTTTGAGACTGGTTTTACTATCTTCCCAAACTGGCCTTGAACTCTCTATCTTCCTGCCTTAGCATCCTGGGTGTTGGAATTATAGATCTGGGCTACCATTCCCAGCAGGAATATGTGGACCCTCAGTGAAGCTCCTCTTAGATATCCTACTGTTGCTGAGCGTCNTACACACACATATACACACACACACATATATATACACATATATATATTTGGAAAAACATTTCACATGTACAGAAAAAACGGGACATTAGGTTTGTATTTCTGAATTACAGTGCTAGCCGGAGCCAAGTATCAGCATATACTTTCCCAGAGGCCAGTGTCCCCATGACTTTCCGTTTGAACCTACCCTCACCTGGTTTCTATGACAGCAGGCCCTTCTCTGAACAGGAACCCAGATCTGAACAGGAGATCCAGCCCTGAGGGATCTGTCTACTTTTTGATCCCCCTGTGGGAATGCAGGATTCTGGGAGCTGGAGAGATGGCTCAGTGACTATGAACACTTGTCACTTTTTTTTTTTTTTTTTTGAGACAGGATTTCTCTGTGTAACTGACTGTCCTGGATCTTGCTTTGTAGACCAGGCTGGCCTCAAGCTCACTGAGATCCACCTGCCTCTGCCTCCCAAGTGCTGGGATTAAAGGTGTGCGCCACCACCACACAGCCCACTTGTCACTTTTGCAGAGGACCTGAGTTCAATACCCAGCACCCACGTAGGGCAACTCACACCAACCTGGAACCCCAGCTCCAAGGGGCCCAAATCCCTCCTCTGGCCTCTACAGGCCCAAATGCTCACATGCACATATTGCCATGCAGAGAAACACACAACAAACACATAATTAAAAATAAATTTAAAAAAAAAGAAAGAAAAATTGATTCCCAAGGGTAGGTGCCAGCTCCTCCGTGGGAACCCTCCCTTCGCTACTCACGCATGCTCTGCCTTCCGTGGGTCCATAGGGCTGGGGGAGTCCATGCAGAGACCTGGTGGGACAGAGCACTTGGCTTGCAGGCAGCCTTTCCTGCTTACTTTTTCCCAAGAAAGGAAAAGGAGACCTCTTTCTATTTGAGATCAAGACAGACTTTAACAAATGAAACAAAACCTACTTACGGACCCTGAGCACAAGACACTATTCCCCAAAGGAGTCAAGAGTACATTATCTATTTACTATGGAATCCTCTCTACCCAGGTGCTTTTTGTTGTTTTGTTTTGCTTTGCTTTTTGTTTGTTGTTTTGTTTTTTGAGACAGGGTTTCTCTGTGTAACTGTCCTGGTTATCCTCAAATTCACTTTGTAGACTAGGCTGACCTTGAACTCACAGAGCTCTGCCTCCCTGGGGTTAAAGGCAAGTGCCACCACTGCCCAGCTTCTACAGTTTTTTAAAAGCACAATGCTTTCTAAGCATTTTTCTTAAGCTAGTTTAAAATGACTTGGAAAAGATAATGGTTTTCTAAGGAGAAAAGTGACAGACTAGGAGACTGTTTCACAAGGACCAACTTTTGGTGGTAGTGCATGCCTTCTGGGTGGAGTGCTAGTTTAGTGGTGGAGTGCTAGTTTAGTGGTGGGGTGCTAGTTTAGTGGTGGAGTGCTAGTTTAGTTTAGTGGTGGAGTGCTAGTTTAGTGGCGGGGTGCTAGTTTAGTGGTGGAGTGCTAGTTTAGTGGTGGAGTGCTAGTTTAGTGGCTTCACCACTAGGTTTCAAATAAGTAAGATACCATCTCCTACCTAGGGCCAGACTTCCTCAGGCTCCCCAGTTAAGGCTGAGTGTGGTAAGACCCACTAGGTGTGTTTTCTTTTCAGCTTTGAAGGCAGAATGGGAGACGATTCTGGGTCCACCCAGATGTGGGCAGGATGTTTATCTGACAGACTGAGAAGTTAGGAGGCCCAAAGAGTTCCCTGATCTCTTCTGACTGTAGGGGACCTCATGGGGACCCTGGGTCTTACCTGCATCAGAAGCTTCAGAGGACTCAGACGACAGGGAGGCACGTCTGGACAGAGATAGGCCCACCAGCCTGTTCTGGAATGACAGGCTTCCTACTGGAGTCTTTGGGGTCTCACTAGTAAGGGGAAATAGGCACAGGAAAGAAAAAAAGAAAGAAATCCTGGGTTTAGAAGTTGGTTGGTCCATGTTGCTATGTATTCCCTAGCTATGAAGGGCCCACCATTACTGAGAGATGATCACATTCTAGGACTATCCTGTAGCTCAGGTCAAAGCCCTGCATTCTGCCAAGGCCTTAGAGAGTCTTCCCTGAATTGACTGGAAGAGTGGAGAGCTTAGGCAGGAGGCGGCCGGGGAAGCTGTGTAGAACCTTTCCCTGCTTACAGCCCCATCACGCATTTTCCTGGAGGCAAAGGCCTTGACCAGGGTCTTTATTGCGTCTTTATTGCGCCTGGACCACCCAGCTGGGACCCCCACAGGCACGTTTAGGGAAGTCAGCCAGTCTTTTGTCATTTTAAGCCTTCGGGGAGTTCGGGAGGTGCAGGGTGCAAGGAGCAGAGGCACGGCCTTATATGAGCCACTGCTATGCCAACCTCAATGATCCTTTGCCTAAGGCAGAAATTAGAGAGGCAGTATGCCACAGGCAGTGAGGGAACAGGGGGTGAATGATCCTTAGCTGGTCATATGGGGGGGGGGTGCAAGTCGCAAAACTTCTGACTCAGCACTCTCGTGCCAGGTCCCTGAAGCAAGGGTAAAGGGAAAGCGTTTGCGCTCAGCACTGCTAGGCTTCGGTGCTACTCCTACTCGGGGCTCCCCGTCCCACCACACCCAGTGCCGGTGGGGCATCCTACCTGCCGAGCCCAGCGAGGTCGTGCATGGTTCGGGTAAGTGTGGTAACTGGAGAGGAGGAAACCGCGCTCTTTGGAGACCCCAGGAAGCCATCAGGCTCCGACCCGAAGCCTGAGAGGTGGTGCGGCCGCTGAACGCCACCGAGCACGCGAACTGGACTGAGAGTCGAGTCCGGCGTAGACTTCTGCGGGTGCACCTCCATCGTGGTGGGGTGGGCAAAGGCTAGCTTTAGGGCCACAACAAGCACGAGGGGGAGCAGACACCAACCCAGCTGGCTCGGCTCCGAGAGGGAGCCTGGGGTGAAGGGAAAGAGGGAGGGAAGGGAGGGAGGAAAAGCAATGGGCCTGGGAGTGAGGAGAGGGATGCGGGTAGGAAGGGAGGGGAGAACGCTGAGCTGGGCAGCTGCCACCTCCACCTCCTTATATATTCGAAAAATAACAGCGGCAGCGCCGCCGGACGTCACCAATGGGGGCGCCGGTTCCGGGAGGGCGGGACCGAGGGCGGGGCTCTTGTGGTTGGGGCTGAGGCTGGACCAGCTAACTCTGCCCGCCCGACTTCTTAGGGTGACTCAGGGAGTTGGGTTAACTCCATGCCCCCCCCCCCCCACATACCCTCTGTTCCCTCTGACACGAAGATCCTGGGCTCCAGGATTCTGCCTCTTGGGACACGGTTTGGAGGGACAGACCCCCAGAGGGAGTAGCCACCCTCTAAGGTGGTCTCGTAAGGACCCCTCGACGTTTACCATCAGGCACGGTCACGGGTAAGGAACCGTGCGAAGAAGCTCTGCCTGAGCTCCGGACGTTTGCCAAGTGTGCTGCGAGGTCTGCGTTCCCTGTCCCGTTTGCAGACCGGGACGTTGAGAAGTTCTTTAACTCGTTTAAGGCCACGGGTTTGGTTGAGTGGTGGAGACAGATGCTCTCCCCTGCCCCCCCCACCCCACCCCAGGCTCTTCTGATTATGCAGCCTCCCTGGGCCGCGTAGTGTAGCTGCAGGCTTTCGCAGGCGGCGCTTTGGGCGCGGCAGAGAGGAACTGCGAGAATCCTGGGCTTCCAGTTTCGACGTGACCCCCCCCCCCAACTGGGCCAAATATTCTCCCGTAGTCCCCGAGAATCAACGTTTGGATTTAGGCATGGGTTTCTGCTGCAGGCAATTGTGACATGATGTCACCAGAGAACCCAGTTAGGGAAAAATCTCACACCCACTTACAGCTTGGCTAATTTGGTGTTAATAGCACCGTATTTAGTGTTTCTTTGAAAGTGGAAGAGGCTGAATTTGCTATTAGTTTACAATGAGCGTCTTCTAATGATCTAATCACCTTCCAGCCAGGTCTGTTTTCCTGAAATGAGCTGGGAAGGACCAAGTGGGTAGTTGGGAACCTTTTCAACTTTGTTCTCCCCATGGAAGATGAGGCTTCTGGGCTGGTGGTTGGGGTACAGAGCAGGATCTAAGAGCTAAGAGTACCTTTGCACATCTGCCTTTGCCGTTTTAACCAACACCCCAGGCCCACCAGGGAGGGATGGCAAAAGGGTGACTGAGGGTAGGAATGGGGTCTAAGAGGTTCAGCTGTGTATGAAGGAAGAGGGCACTAACCACACCTGAGTGGAGTGACCGAAGTAGGAGTAACGGCCTTTCTTTCTCTCAACATTTTGCCCAGCTCCTGTGCTGTGCCAGGAACTATATACTACTAAGTAGTTAGGGTCCTATTTCCTGTTCCAGTCATAGGTCAAGCTCAAGACCTCCAGCTTCCTGCCCTGCCTTAGTGTCAGGACCACGAGAGAAATTTGCCCCATGTGCATAAAAGTCCTCTGAGAACAAAACAGGTTTCCCCCACCCTCGCCCCAGCACACGCACGCTTCAGAGTGAGAAGGGGCCCTCCTGTGCTGATTTTGGAAATCACATCTGGAGGTGCTCCTGGTCCCCCGTGGAAGGGAGAGGAGCCCAGCAGAGTCCTTCCAGGGCCCCTCATCTAAAGGCTCACATGGTCCTGAACTTGAGGTTGCCATTCGATCATAGACAATAATGGACTTAACTAAAACAACAAAACTAGTCCCTAAAGATCAGTTAAAAGATTTGTGCTTCTAGTTCCAGGACAGGCTCCAAAGCTACAGAGAAACCCTGTGTTAGAAGAAAACAAAAACAAAAACGATTTGCTCTTTTTGAATTGAGAAGGTGAGTGTCTCATTATGTCATTATGTAGACCTGGCTGGCCCAGGATCTGTCTGTAGAGCAAGCAGGCCTCAAATTCATGGTGCTCACCCTGCTTTGCCTCCAGAGTGTTGGATTACAGCTATGAGTCACCGCTACTGGCATGTTAAAATGTTTGCGACCTGCAGAGCAAGAGAACTTCCCTATCTTTTAGGGACTTTTCTATCTTAATGTTTTATGTGTGTGCGTGCTTTGCCTGTCTGTGCACCATTTATCTGCTTGGTGTCTTTGAAGGACAGCAAAGGGCATCAGATCCCCCGAAACAGATGGTTGTGAGCTGCCATGTGGAGGCTGGATATCAAAGCTGGGTCCTCTGGAAGAGCGGCCAGTGTTCTCCACCTCTGAACCATCTCTCCAGGGCCCTTTTAGAAACATTCTAGTTTCCCCTGTTGGCCCACCGCGCCCCCCCCCACACCTGTGTTTTTGTAGCTTGTGACATGTCACATTTATGTTTCACCAAAACTTCAGACAGAGGAGAATATCAAATGATACCAAAGGCAGCACCCCCAGTCTTCAGATACAGCATTGTGAGAGTGTTCTTTTCTTGCATTGTCTCCTGAAGATGAGTCATACTTCTCCAAAGGAAACATGGACAACAGCCACAAAGAGAATTACATATTTCCACATTCAAAAAGCAAAAGGGAAGCTGGCCTTGGTTGTGTACTTATAAATTTATGGAGGGAGGAGGTCGAGGAATGAGAATCACCGGGAGTTTGAGGCCAGCCTGGGCTATATAGTGAGACCCTGCGTCAAAAAGTCTGAAACTACCAATAAAAGAAAAGTAAAAAGGGGCTTGAGATGTGAGAGGCCATTGGCCTAGCATGTGCAAAGTTCTAGCTTCTGGAATCAGTTCAGAACACACCAAAAATATAAATAAATGTGGTAAAATGTGTAATTTTAATTTTAGTATTATATTTAAAGTAATATATTAAAATATTATTATTATTATGGCTAGTTTTTTGTCAACTTGACAAAAGCTAGAATCATCTGGGAGAAGAGGAAACTCAAGAAGATGCCTCCATCAGATTGACCTGTAGGCAAGTCTGTGGAGTATTTTCTTGATTAATGATTGATGGGGTAGGGCCCAGCCCACTGTGGATGGTGTCTCCCCTAGGCAAGTGCTCCTTGGTTGTATGTGTAGGGGATGGAGAGACATCTCAATAGTTAAAGAGCACTGACTGCTCTTCCAGAAGACTCAGGTTTGATTTCCATTATCTACGTGGCAGCTCACAACTGTCTGTAACTCCCATTCCAGGGGATCCACTGCCCTCTTCTAACCTCTGCCGACAACTAGGCATGGTGCAGACATACATGCGATCAAAGCATCCAAACATGTTGTGGTTTGAATAAGATGTCCCCAATAGGCTCAGCTATCTGACCGCTTAGGAATGACACTATTTGTTGGAGTAGGTGTGGCCTTGTTGGAGGAATGTATAGCTGGAGTGGGTTTTGAGGTTTCAAAAGCCCAAGCCACACACCCAACCACCCAAGGACTGACTCACTCTCTCTCTCTCTCTCTCTCTCTCTCTCTCTCTCTCTCTCTCTCTCTCTCTCCTGCCTGCAGAACTCTCAGTTGCTTCTGATTCATGTCTGCCTGAATGCTGCCATACTCCCTGACTACGACGGTGGTGAACTAAACCTCTGAAACTACAAGCAAGTCCCAGTTAAATGCTTTCCTTTATAAGAGTTGCCATGGTCATGGTGTCTCTTCACAGCAAGAGAACATTGACTAAGACAATACACATAAAAAATAAATGTAACCAAGCAAGCAAAAGACAGTATTTGTCCCTTGGGAGGCTGAGACTGGAGAATTATAAGAGTGACGATATCTTGGACTATATACTGTGCCTCCAACTCCGAAAACAAAAATAAAGCCAGGGATGGTGGTGCACAACTTTAATCCCAGCACTCAGACCTCTGTGAGTTCAAGGTCAGCCTGGTCTACAGGAAGTTCTAGGTCAGCCAGCCCTAGACAATGAGACCCTGCCTCAAACAAAGCAACATAACCTGACCAGCAGCAACAAAATATGTATGGGAAAATGCCTACAAAAATATTCTTTGATTATCACAAAGAATAGATCACACATATAAACAATCCTAACACTTGGGAGGTAGAGGCAGAAAGACCAGGAGTTTAAAATCATCCCCAACTACATACCTAGTTCAAGGCCAGCATCTCAACAAAAAAAAAAAAAAAAAAAAAAAAAAAAAAAAGAGAGAGAGAGAGCGAGAGAAAATTTTTTTCAGTGGTATCATTATACATTTTTATCCTCCAAAGAATTTTGGTATTTTAAAAGACTCAGAAGAATCTGTATAATTTTTCAATTTTCAATTTCTAATTAGAAATACGTTTTTTTTTTTTTTTTTTGAGGCAGGGCCACGTATAGCCAAGGCTGACTTCAGACTCACTAAGTAGTGGAGGAAGACCTTGAACTTCTGGTCCTCCAGCCTCCAGAGTGCTGGGATTATAGGCTTGTGCCACACTTCTGGTTTTTGATGACCTGAGAATAAAATGCAGGGCTACAATGCATGCTGGGTAAGCCTTCTTCCTACTGATCTACATTCCCAGCCCTTAAGCATATGTTTTCAATATAGCAGTTTCTCAGATGATTAAATAAAGTTACTATATGGCCCAGTGGTCCTATGCTAGATATGTACCCAAGAGTAACGAAAACATGGCTGCCCAAAACTTTGCAAACAAATGTTTATAGCAGTATTAATCATAGCCAAAAGGTAGAAACAACCCACACATCCATCAACTGATGAGTGGACAAACAAAATACCATTTGTAAAAGAAAAAGAGATCAGGCATAAGGTTAAATTATTACCCACATGTGATACAGGTGAACAACCACTGTAGGTTACAGTCCTGAGGAGGGAGACATTTCCTCACTTCTTTTGTTTGTTTGTTTGTTTTTCAAGACGGGGTTTGCGTGACCACCCTGGCTGTCTTGAACTCACTCTTAGACCAGGCTGCTGGCCTTGAACTAACAGAGGTCCACTGGCCTTTGCCTCCCAAGTGATGAGATTAAATACCTGCATACCTGTGTCACCACCGCCTGGCTTCCTCACCTTTTGTTTTTTGTTTTTCAAGACAGGGTTTCTCTATGTAGCTTTGGAGCCTGTCCTGGAACTCACTCTGTAGACCAGTCTGGCCTAGAACTCACAGAGATCTGCCTGCCTCTGCCTCCCGAGTGCTGGGATTAAAGGCACGTGCTAACCTTCGTTTAAGGTGAGGAAAACATTCTAAAATTGACTTGCACTGGTAGCTGCACATATCTGTAAGCTGTATACTCTGGGTGAATTGTACAGTTACAGACTATGAACTACATCATAAAGCTTTGATATCTGAGAGACCACAGGCAAATTGAACATTCCTTTTAGGACTCCCAGGTCTGGGTGCTTTGAAAGTCTAGTGACACCCCCATGTCTAGATATCTTCCATCCCACTAATATCATCTATTCTACCCCCTTTCAGGGCCCTCCTTGGTGTCACATAGACTGGTACTTACACAGCCACTCCGGGACAGTCTACCTGCTCTGCAGTTGGTCCAGGCTACCTGGAGTTGCTGAACAGGGTTCACACCCATTATGCTTATTTTACCCATCCTTCATGCCCATCGGCAAGCTTTTCATTCTCCTTTCCTTTTCCTTTTTAATATGTATGTGTGTGGGTAAATATGCAAATATGCATGTGTGTTTTATTTTAGAGACAGGTTTCACTGTGGAGCTCTGACTATCCTTGAACTCACAGAGATGCACCTGCCTCTGTCTCTCAATGCTGGGTTTAAAGGCCTGCATCGCTACACCTAAAATGCTTTTATTTTTTTTTTTTGAAATAGGATTTGTTTAGCCTAGGTGGGTCTCAGACTTGCTGGATGGCCTCACATTCCTGATCCAGTTGCTTCTGCTTTCCAGCTGAGCTTACAGGCCTCCACCACCATGCTTGGCTCTCTTTTTCATTTTAAAGGGTAGTATTTTATTTTTTTTTAAATTTTATTTTCTGTATATGGATATTTTGACTGTATGTATGTCTGCATACCACATGGGCCTACAGGGACCAGAAAAAGGCATTGGACCTGGAAGTAGTTAAAGACGGTTGTTAACTGACATGTGTGTGCTGGGAATTGGACCTGGGTCTTTGGGAAGAACAAGTGTTCTTAGCCACTGAGCCATTGTTCCAGCCCCAAGAGTAACACTTCTTATAAAAGAAAACTTGGCTAAGCATGGTGGTACATATCTGTAATCTCAAGTACTCTGGACACTGAGGCAGGAGGAACACAAGCTCAAGGCCAGCCTGGGCAACTTAGATTCGATCTCAAATAGTTAAGAATAAAGGGGGCTGGCATTTAGAGGTAGAATGCTTCCCTAGCACCTGTAAGGCCTTGGGTTCCGTCCTCAGTTCTGTAAAAGAAAACAAAGACAGGGAAAGTAAGGAAGAAGGCAGGCAGGCAGGCAAAGCGACTTGGAAAATTCAACAACATAGGAGAAAAGCTCTGTCCACAGCCCAGTCACCAAACATCCACTGATTATAAGTCAACATATATGAGGAGGCAGGGGCCATATATGCAAAATGTAAACAACGTTCCCTGAAGACGCATAGGACGGTGTCCTTGGCGTGTGGCTCCACATTTACCTTGTAGATTTCTTAAACATCAGGAAAATAAGGTTGGGGTGAAGCATGTGATTGGTATGCATGAGGCCCGAAGTCTGATTCTTACTGTCAACACACAGAGGGGAAAAGACCAGAGTGAGAAATATGGACAAAGGCTGAGACTCTCAGGATCCAGTGTACACATGGAAAGAGAAACATGTATTAAAAGAGCAGAGACTTGGGCCGGGCGGTGGTGGCGCACGCCTTTAATCCCAGCACTCGGGAGGCAGAGGCAGGCGGATCTCTGTGAGTTCGAGGCCAGCCTAGTACAAGAGCTAGTTCCAGGACAGGCTCCAAAGCCACAGAGAAACCCTGTCTTGAAAAACCAAAAAAAAAAAAAAAAAAAAAAAGAGCAGAGACTTACAGTCTTCCCTGACCTTGCAGAACACCACAGACCTGATTTCCGACTTTGTCTTTATCAGCTCCTCATGAGTGTGTTGTTGGTAATTTCTAGAGCCCTTAACCTGGAAGCTCCCAGGATGCTGTCCTTGGTTCTCTTTGTTTCTTTTTTTTTTTTTTTTTCTCTTTGTTTCTCAACCTGAAGCCTCATCTAGCCCCAGCTCCTCAGCCTGACATTCTGGGATGCTGATCTTCAAGACTTAAAAACATGATAACTTCACTTATCATGTCTCCATCAAAACCCACTGCGAAGGGCTCAAGGATCTATGCAGAAGAGGTTGTAAGTGCCGGAGGTGATGGATGATTCCAAGGAAACAGTGTCTCCAGACACAGCAGAACTGATGCCCGTATGAACTCACAGAGACTGTGGCCGCATGCACAGGGCAGGCACAAATTCAAGCCAGACCAGGTCCCAGCACTGAGAGGGGGAAACGGACACATGTCTCACCCAAACCAAGAAGCCATCTGCAACTAATCCCCACTGGCAAAGGGAAAATCAGTTTACTCCAGTGGAGTGTCACTGAGTACATCAATCACACTTCCGGGCAGACCCCATGCCCAGGAGTAGTTGGTCAAAACAAAATGAACTCAATGGTACTTTTGTAGGCTTTTCGTCTCATTTTGCTTTGTTTTGGCTTTTTTTCTTTTTGTCTCACCAGTATTTTGCTTGTTTATTTTTTGTTTTGTAGGGCTGTGTGTGTGTGTGTTTCTTGGGTTATCTGGTGTGATGGCACAAGCCTTTAGTTTCAACATTGAGGAACCAAAAGCAGGTGAATCTCCGTGAGTTCAAGACTCACCTGATCTGCACAGAGTTCCAAGTCAGCCAAGGTTACATAGTGAGATTCTGTTCAGAAACAAACAAACAAACAAGCAAGCAAAAAACAAAAACAAAAACTATAATGTACACACTGTCTTAAGAAATCATCACTTTCAAGTGTTTGATGCTGCAGGAAGTTTTAAGATTTATTTGTACATATGCATATACACATACGTATTTCTGTAGTTGAATTTACAGCTTACTGCATGAAAAAACTCAATGATACCCAGATGTTATTAGTGTTTTTGGACTGTGGTTTACAAGAAGTTTAAAACGTCTTTAGCACCATCAAATGGACTTAAATGCTATGTTGTCTTTACAATAACTTAAATGTGTACCCATAAACCGGTTTTCTCATATTTCGAACAATACACATGATTAAAGTGCATATTAGGCATCTGGGGGAAGGCCCAGCACTTAAGAGCAATTGGCTGCTTTGGTGGAGCATCAGAGTGTGGATCCCAGTACCCATATTGCAACTCACAAACCACCTGTAATCTCACTTTTGTCCGACGCCCTCTTCTGTTCCGCTCGGGCATCTGCATGAAGGTGTGCATACACACAGGCAGACATACACATGCATAAAGACAATTAACTCAAAAAGAAGCATATTGGCACTGGTATTTCACCCACTGAAAACTTAACCGCTTGACGCCAGCCAGTTAAAATGCAGTCTAAGCAGTCTGACGCCAGCTGGCCCTGTCTACAGGGAAGAGCAGAAGCGAGAGCATCAAAACGTCCTTGCGCATCAGTCCAGGTGTCTGTGCATTTTGTCTCTGCAGATGATCTTTCCCCGCGCGTGGCCGAGACTCACGGTCCGGACCTCAGCGCCCCCGGCGGCGGGTCCGGGCAGCAGCACGGGGTAGGGGAGGCGGCGCCCAGCGTCCCGCGCTTCCCGCGAGATCCCGCGCGCGCTCCGCCCCGCGCCGCGCCGCGCTCCCCGCTGGGCACGTCCTGCCGCCCGCGCCGCCCGCGCCGCCCGCGCCGCTTGCCACCGCCCGCCGCCGCCCCGCGAGCCGCTTTGTCTCGGGCGGGGCGCACGGAGAGGCCGCCAGGTGCCCCCCGCCGCGGGCCCGGGCCCCCCGCCCCGGGGCGGCGACGGCGGTGCCGGGCCCCGGGGCGGAGGGCGCGCCGGGATGGGCCCCAAGCGGCGGCAGCTGACGTTCCGGGAGAAGTCGCGGATCATCCAGGAGGTGGAGGAGAACCCGGACCAGGGCGAAATCGCTCGGTGCTTCAACATGCCGCCGCCCACGCTGAGCACCATCCTGAAGAACAAGCGCGCCATCCTGGCGTCGGAGGGCAAGTATGGAGTGGCCTCCACCTGCTGCAAGACCAACAAGCTGTCCCCGTACGACAAGCTGGAGGGGCTCCTCATTGCTTGGTTCCAGCAGATCCGCGCCGCGGGCCTGCCGGTCAAGGACATCATCCTGAAAGAGAAGGCGCTACGGATAGCGGAGGAGCTGGGCATGGACGACTTCACGGCTTCCAACGGCTGGCGGGATCGCTTCCGCCGCCGGCGCCACTGTGTAGTGGCCTGCAGCGGTGTGACCCGCTCCCGGGCGCAAAGCTCCGAGGGCAGCGGTGGGAGTACACCAGGCTGGCGCACGCGGGAGGAGCAGCCGCCGTCGGTGGCTGAGGGCTACGCCTCGCAGGACGTGTTCAGCGCCACCGAGACCAGCCTGTGGTACGACTTTCTGTCCGACCAGGCCTCGGGGCTGTGGGGAGGTGATGGAAAGGCTCGCCAGGCCACCCAGCGCCTTAGTGTTTTGCTGTGCGCCAACGCTGATGGCAGCGAAAAGCTTCCCCCGCTGGTCGCAGGCAAGTCCGCCAAGCCCCATGCAGGCCAAGGTGGTCTGCCCTGTGACTACACTGCCAACTCTAAGAATGGAGTCGCTACCCAGGCCCTAGCTAAGTACTTGAAAGCGCTGGACACCCGAATGGCTGCAGAATCTCGTCGGGTCCTTTTGCTGGCTGGCCGTCTGGCTGCCCAGTCCTTGGACACCTCGGGCCTGCGGCACGTGCAGCTGGCCTTCTTCCCTCCCGGCACTGTGCATCCATTGGAGCGAGGAGTGGTCCAACAGGTGAAGGGCCACTACCACCAGGCTATGTTGCTCAAGGCCATGGCAGCACTCGAGGGCCAGGATCCCTCAGGCCTGCAGCTGGGCCTGGTGGAGGCCTTACACTTTGTGGCTGCAGCCTGGCAAAAGGTGGAGCCCTCGGACATAGCAACTTGCTTTCGGGAGGCCGGTTTTGGAGGTGGCCTTAATGCCACTATCACCACTTCCTTCAAGAGTGAGGGAGAAGAGGAGGAGGAGGAAGAGGAGGAGGAGGAAGAAGAAGAGGAGGGTGAAGGGGAAGAGGAGGAGGAAGAAGAGGAAGAAGAAGGGGAGGAGGAAGAAGGCGGGGAAGGAGAGGAGGTGGGAGAGGAAGAGGAGGTGGAAGAGGAGGGTGAGGTTGATGACAGTGATGAAGAGGAGGAGGAGGAGGAAGAAGAAAGCTCCTCTGAGGGTTTAGAGACTGAAGACTGGGCCCAGGGAGTAGTGGAGGCCAGTGGTGGCTTTGGGGGTTACAGTGTCCAGGAAGAGGCCCAGTGCCCCACCCTCCATTTTCTGGAAGGTGGGGAGGACTCGGACTCAGACAGTGATGAGGAGGAGGAAGATGAAGAGGAGGATGAGGAAGACGATGAAGACGAGGATGATGATGATGGCGATGAGGTCCCTGTACCCAGCTTTGGGGAGGCCATGGCCTACTTTGCCATGGTCAAACGGTACCTGACCTCCTTTCCCATCGATGACCGCGTGCAGAGCCACATCCTTCACTTGGAACATGATCTGGTCCACGTGACTAGGAAGAACCATACCAGGCAGGCTGGAGTTTGGGGTCTTGGACATCAAAGCTGATCTGCGGGACATAGCTGCGCTTCAGCCCAGATGGACAGCACCTGCCCAAGGCAGAGAACTCTGGGCAGCTGCTGGAGATGGCTGGAGGAGTTGCAGGGCCTTCAGTAATGCTTCGCCCGGCCCCGAGACAGGCCCAGGAGCTGAGGTCTGCCTCACTGCTATTGCCTCCTTCTCAGATTCCTCTTTCCTCCCCATTAGTTCCTGGGCTCAGGGCACTGGTTGGGTGGGAAGCTGTCCGGTGCTACCACGCCATGCCACCAGTGGGCTAGACCATAGCAGCAGCCAGGGACAGGTCCTGGAAGCTCTTGGCCAGAGAGTGCCTCTCCCCTTGCCACCCAAACAGGTCTTTGGTGGGGGGGATCCCAAAGCCATTCTGGAAAGGGCTCCAGAGAAAGGTCCAGCCTAGGTTCCCACAAAACTAGCATCCCCCCGTCCTGCACCTCTAGGCTGCCTAAAGAAGCACAGTGTAACGTAGGGCAGGCTCCTGAGCCTGCCTCCTGCCTGCTTTCCACCTCCCTTGCTCTGGCCCAGTCTTTGGCCCTTGGTTTTCTTTCCAGATTGGAGGTTTCCAAGAGGCCCCTTTTGGGGAGTGACAGCAGGCACCTCCAATCTGGGCAGCTGCAGGCCTTGTGCCTCAACCTCTGCAGGCCCCCATCCTGGGCAGAGGGGCCTGGGGCTGGGCCCAGAGTCCAGCCGTCCAGGTGCTCCCTTCCCAGTTTGAATTCAATAAATTTGTCTACTCCCCTTTTGTGGGAGTGAATGTTTTAACAGCCATGGATGCATCCTTCATGGTCTGGGCTTGCGTCTGTCTTGGGGACACATCCCTTCCAGGTTCCCCTTGGTTCTTGTAGTGGGACATGAAAGCAGGGTTTGAGCAGATGACCACGACTGGGGTGAGGGGCAGGCAGTGACACCCACATCTACATGTTAGAGAACTCTGGGGAGGGTGTGCCTTTAGTGACGCATCTCTTGATAGACTGCAGGAACCCTAACCTTAACCTCCTTTGATGGTAGTGAGAAGCTTTAGTCACTGGAATGGGGAAGTAGAGAGGGAGCCAGCAGTCTGTTAGGGGATCAGGCAGTATACCCCTGAAGACTGAGCCCACGAAAGCTAGTTAAGGAAGGTCTTCGCAGGGGTTGAGCAGGAATGAGAAAAACTTTGGTTCTGCTATGGGCCAGGTTAGAGTTGGAGGGGCATGCAAGGAACCCTTGTTTTACTTTAAGAGGGAGTTCTTCAGGCTGTTCAAGTGATTGGCATTTTCATGTCCGTTAAATCACCTTTGAGGCCATGACAGGAGGAAGGTGAAGTTACTAGGAAACATGGCACCCCCGTGAATTGGTAGCTCACTGTGCAGGGCCACTCCCCCACTCCAGTCCAAAGGTGAGGGCATGTCCTTTCAGAGCCCGGCCCCTCCCTTCATGGTTCTCCCTTACTGGGGCTCACAGGTTCCAGTCAAGGAAAGACCTGAGCGGGGCAGGTAACTCTTGAGTCCCAAACCGGTTTTCCCACCTTACTTAGGGCAGGCGTATTACCTCTGGTAATTTCCCAATCCCTAACATACTCCAGCGACCAGGTTCTCCCCAGGCTGGAATGTAAGGGGGTGGGGGATATCCAAATCGTCCTTTGTGCCTTGTTTGCCCTGGGTATGGTTCCTTCTAAAAAGGCTGTCCATAAACGTTTGGCTCTTTTGTATTTCCAACACTAGGGGATTATCTCCAAGCCTTGAAAATTAGTTTTTGTTTCTTTAATGCAAATTTTGCTTATATTTGTACTGGGGTAGGGATGAACCCAGGGTCTAGATTAACCTGGGCAAGAGCCTCACTGCTGAGCCAACCCCCCCCCCCCCCCCCCCCCCCCCCGAGTGTTTGGAAACGAAATCGAGCAAAGGAGTTGGGATCCCGTTTGGCATCAGCCCTTCCTCTAATTGGAACTTTGGAGGGAGAGACCAGAAAGCCTAGCCTACCCAACGGGCCTGCTCTAAGTAGTAAGTGGGAGGGAGCAGGGGTGTTTTCTCTAGATGCCCCAGGACAGACATTATCTTTATCTCCAGTACCAAGACAAATCACTGCCTCCTGCCAATAAGAACCTCTTACTGGTCCCAGGATTTAACACAATCTGATGCCAATAGGGCCTTTCTTTGTGCTAGGTGTCAAACACTCAGATGCCCTTATGAGGTAACAAAACCCACGATAAACAGGCAGAAGAGGTTCAGTAATGTGCCCAGAGCTACATTAGGCTGCCGGAAGCAGACTTTCTCCTCAGGCAGGCTCTGGAAGTATCCCTCCAGTACTTCATATGCCTTCATTACGGAGGGCCCTGTGTTCCTACCCCTCCTGGTTGCAGAAACCAGTTTCTAGCCCTTCGTAGAATATCCCTCCTGTGAACGATAAGGGTGTGACTGTCTGCCGAAACTCTAGCTTTCGTGTGTACTGTGGATTTCCAATCCCTAATCCCCATACAAGTGCAGGCCGCTTAGACGTTTTTCCATTTTGTAAATTTCTTTCAAAATAAATTATTGGGACAAGTAGATGAAAACTTTCTATTTTACAAAGAAGTAAATAGGGTTAAGGGATTAAATGACCTTGCCCAAGAAAATGGCCTTACACTGCTCTCCCTGGGAATCTGGGTTACATATTAAATGCCCCAGTAGGGTACATTGGGATGAGGAAATGGCAGTGACCCTAGGTCTACAGAGCTTTGGAGGGAGCTAGTGAGGAAGCACTGGTTGTGCTTCCAAAGGACCCAGGTTTGATCCCCAGCACCCACATAGTGGCTCACAACCATCTGTAACTCTAGTTTCACCTGCCCTCTGCAGGCACCAGATATACATACAGGTAAAACACACATACACATACAAAAATAAAATACTTATTTAAAAATAGACAACTTGTCACACAGCATCAGTAGGTATCAGACTAACAGAGTTCCCGCCTCCCTAAATACTAATATGCGTGGAGATGCTGCTTCCTTTAGGACTGACAAATGGCACAGAAGGGGAATGGTTTCTGGGGACATAGCTGGTTTTGGCAAAGCCCAGATTGGGCAGTGATTGATCAGCGAGTGATGTGGGCAGACAGGTGATGCCTTCTTGGGGAGAAAGGAAGATAAGTACAAATAACTGCCCTTTCAGAGCTGGGACCCAGGGGAAAGATATGGAAAAACTACAACTCCCAGAAGTCTCTGTTTCCAGGCAAGTAGCGACGGTTGCTATGGTTTCATAAAACAATATGGCTGCTCCCAGATGGGATTTGAGTCTGTGCCGAGTAGGAAAGGAAACGTAGATCTGAACGCTCGCAGTGGCGAGAGGAGGCACTTGAAGGGTCCTGGGGCTGACGTTGGGCTCTGTGGGGAACACTGAGGCCTTGCCCAGAAGCCAATGGCAAGCAACGTGGATGAGGAGGCTCTGCACCAGCTGTACCTGTGGGTAGACAACATCCCTCTGTCCCGACCCAAGAGAAACCTCTCCCGGGACTTCAGTGACGGAGGTGTGTGTAGTTGTGTTTTACAGTGTTCTATCTTTATGTATGTGTAATAGATTTGTGTGTATGCTATAGTTTTTGTTATGTCTGCATGTAGAGTGGGAGCAGGGGTGGGATCTGTGTTTTTGGGACTTGATAGTGGAAGTGGGCACTTGCATGTTTCTTCTATTCGTGAGTGAACAATATATGTCCATGATACCTTGTGTACATAGAGTGTGTCTGTGTGTCTTGCTTCAGGGGCGTTAAGGACTAAGCTGTGTGTCTGGGTTTGTATTGGTGAACCTATGCTTGCTCATATTTCTGTGTTCTACAGTCTGTCTTGTAGGTGTGTGTGTGTGTGTGTGTGTGTGTGTGTGTGTGTGTGTGTGTGATAGAGTCTTGGACTCCTGCCTCTACTACATTGCTGTGTCTAGCTCCCAGATTTTGTGATTATAAGCATGCACCACCTCTCCTGTTTGTTTTTAATGTGGTGCTAGGGCACTGTGAATGCTGTGCAAGCATGCCACCAACTGAGTGACATCCCCACCCTGTGTTCTTTTGTGTTGACACGTTCTGTCCTGAATGTATGTATAGTTAGTTTGTTTGGTTTTTGTGTGTATGTATAGTGTTTGTTTTTTCAGGAAAGGCTCCTGTATTTAAGAAATGCATAGTTCTGTAACCAGGATGTCTTCATTTCTATGTGTATAATTGAGGAAACTACATGTATATGTGACTTCTGTGTTTGTGTGTGTTCTATGTGTGCCCCATGTGTGTCTGGCATTTATTCTGTGCATCTATACATTCTGATCTATATACACCTGTAGAGGGACATTTTTGATTCCCAGGGTAGCGAAGTAGCCCATAACTCACTATTTTCCTGCCTTTGTGTGGTGGGATTACAGGCATGTGCTACCACAGCCTGCATATATGGTGCTGGGGGTTGAGAACAGCACTTCATACATGTTATACAAGTGTGCTACCAACTGTGCTATATTGCCAGCACAATAGAAGGATCTTGTTTTTCTGCTTGTGTAAATCTGTGATTCTCCTGAGATTTTAGTGTGTGTGTGTGTCCTTGTGAATTCCCAGAACAAGGCTGCAGCCTCCTGCAGGGCCCTCTTGGAGTATGTTTTTCCGTGCCCTGATCTAATAAGGAAGATGCTTTTTCTCTGAGAAATGTAGGATCTTGATTTAATTATTGATCTTGCTTTCTTTGTCTCCTTTCTATCCACCTTCCCTTCGTCTGTATCTCCATCCCTTCTCCCTGGCCTTTCCTATCTGCTCCCAATCCTACTCCCTCAGTCCTGGTTGCAGAGCTTATCAAGTTTTACTTCCCCAAGATGGTGGAGATGCACAATTATGTCCCTGCTAACTCTCTTCAGCAGAAGCTCAGCAACTGGGGTCACCTGAACAGGTAGTAGAATCTCTGGGTGCAGAAGTAAACTCTGAAGCCCCTGCCTGCTTCTCAAGAGGGATTGCTCCAGCCTCAACTCAACTTTCTATGACCTTGCCTGGAGAGATGTTTTTCGCATGCACAAGTGCGCCTGCATGTACACACACACACACACAACACACCTAGCAATGCAAAACAACAACAAAAAAAACCTGTGGTCTTGACAGGCAGACTGAGACTGCTGGGGGGAGTGGGAGGCACAGAATCCATTTCGTAATAAAATCAAATAATTATTTTATTGGAATGGAAACACTCAAGGGAAATTGGAACAGTCAAGCAAGGAGGTTCAGGAGTCTGTCCTTCCAGTCCCCTGGGGCTATGTCCACTCCTTCCCCATTGCACTCCATTCATTTACCCAGGACCCACTCACCCTTCTTGTATCTACTCCCGTAGAAAGGTGCTGAACAAGCTGAACTTCTCTGTCCCCGACGACGTGATGCGGAAGATTGCGCAGTGTTCTCCGGGTGTAGTGGAGCTGGTGCTCATTCCACTAAGGCAGCGCCTGGAGGAGCGGCAGAGGCGCCAGAAACTGGGTGCTGGCTCCTTACAGGTGCTGCTGCTTGAGCCTGCTGATGGGGGCGCAAGGGGTGCTCCCCACACAGTGGACTAGACGATGGTGATGCCTAGGCGATAAATAGGAAGATGGGTGCCTAGCTAAGAGAACCTGGCCCACAGGATTGTGGAAGGGAAATGGGGCTTCTTGGAGGTAGATGCCCAGGTTCACAGGAGACCACATCTGTTCTTTCAGGAGCTGGCTTCTCAGGATGTCAGTGGCTACATGGACATGGGTAAGGTGGTTTTCCCTTATCTCAGGAAAGCTTTTCCCACATCGATCTTAGGATCAGGGGGAGACAGGAGAATGGTACTCCAACAAGGTCTCTCCTTCACTTGCTTTGTCTTAGGTCTGTCCCAGAAGACTCTAGGAGACGGTGCCCCAGCCCTGGGAGGAGAGCAGCTCAGGTAAACTCGAGAGTTCTGACCTCACCAGGCTTGACACCTTCACCACAAAGACTAGTGTGGCAGTGCCTTGGTCACTGGGGAGGTGGTGAGAAGGCGACAAAGGAAGGCCTGGTAGCAAGTACTAGAAAGGAATGGCAGGGTCTGAGGTCCAGGCCTCTGCTAAGCTGTTATCCACTGCAGAGGGGGCCGGCCACCGGCGCCTCGACCCCCTGGATATAACCAGGCGCTGCAGGGCGATCCGAGCTTCGTCCTTCAGATTGCTGAAAAGGAGCAGGAGCTGTTGGCCTCTCAAGAGACAGTGCAGGTGAGGAGGGGACACCAAGGCCTAAAGGGCAGCTTGAGGTCTGCAAAACACTAGCAGAGCAACAGGTCTTCAGGCTTGACGTCTCTGCGCCCCCACCCAGGTCCTGCAGATGAAGGTGAAGCGTCTGGAACACCTGCTCCAACTCAAGAACGTGCGCATCGATGACCTCTCTCGGAGGCTCCAGCAGGCCGAACGCAAGCAGCGGTGAGCAGTGCCCGGGCTGCGCGGGTTTTCCCAGTACCCGCTGGAGCCCCGACGCCGCGACCTACCCACTCACCTGCGGACGCAGGATTGGGAGGGCGGAGCGAGCTGCTCACTGGCGCCCCCTGCAGCAGCGGCGCTCGGACACGGAGGGTTCGGGCGAACGCGGGGGTGTTCAAAGCCGAGACCTGGGATTGATCCTCCTCCTTACACTCCATCCGGGCCAGGAGAAAAGACCACTCTCCACAGCCCAGAAAACCTGTGCGGACATACGGCATGACCTCCCAAACCGTGTCAACTTTGAGGCTCCCAGCGCTGGGCCTGGAGAGGCGGTCCTCCGGTTCCTTTCTCAGCTCAGAGGACAGCCTTGTCTCCATCCATGCAAATTCTCCATGGCCTCGGACACGCGAGCAGCTACCCCCGGAAGTGGAGGGATTCTCTTGCCCCTCCTGGGTGCTTCCATGGGACCCATCTCAGAGCTGGAGACCACCGCAGCTGGAGAGGAAGGGATAAGGTGTTGAAGAAGCCAGGATAACAGGCATCCAGCTGTGTGCAATAGCCCTTTCTGCATGGAGCAATATACGGAGCGCCTGGGAAAGACAGAGCAGAGTTGTCTCTATTAAAAGTGGCGTTATGCGTTCTTCCCTGTGCCTGCCTTTTCTTTCTGTCCGTATGGGTCTGAAAGGCAGCGAGTTCCTGCCTTGTCCTTTATCGCTTTCACCTAGCTGTCCTCTTAAAGACCCTGTGGACCCAGGATGGGTCTCACGTCTTATTAGATTGATGATACTGCCAGTGGACAGAGTTTGGGAAGTGTGACAGCCTGCTTCTAGCCCTGGGTGACCCCCATCGCCTCCTTCCAGTGTCCTCCAAACTTGTCCAAACCCAAGCTGCAAATTTTCACTAAGGTGGCCACCATGTTCCCAACCTTGCCCATGGATTCTCTTAAATTAGCTTTCTGTATGACTCTCAACCTTGTCCACACACTGATCTCAATTCTATGGACGGAGGATACATGTCACTTGAAACCCTGACCATGGCATGACCTTCACTCTAACGATTTGTTGACTGGCAATAATGCTGAAGGTTTGTAAATCCCGAGGTCTGGCAATTCCATTCCCAGGCATGCATTCAACATATTGCATGGGAGAAACTTGTGTCCTATGTTCTGGGAAACACACCACAACAATCATACAAAACGGAAATGATGGGCTGGGGATGGGCTCAGCTGTTGAGAGCATTTGTTGTCCTTGCCGAGGAGCCAGGTTCCCAGCACCCACGGGCCAAACCACAGCTCTTCATCACTCCAGTTCCAGGGCCTCCAGCACCCTCTTCGGACCTCCATGGGCACCAGGCCCACTTGAGATGCACAGACCACCACCTGAGCTTAAAATAAATCTAAAAAGAAAAAGAATTAAAAGGAACTTGTATTTGGTGATCTATTACTGTGTAACAAATTACTACCAATGTAAAGGCTTGAATCAACACATGCTTTGTCTTTTTTTGTTTGTTAGTTTGTTTTGAGGGTCCAATCTGAGCATGGCTCAGCTGGATCTTGAGCTTCCATGATGCTTGCAAGGTTAAGGCTGAGGTGTCAGCTAGAAGTGTGACCTCATCCTCAGGCTTAAGCTCAGCTAGGGAAGGAGGCACACTCTGTTAACAGATCAGTCCCTTGTGGGTTGTTGGGCTTCAGTGTTGACGATTGTTGCCGTGTGACTGCTCTAATTTCCTTGACCATTTCCAGTATAGTAGCTTACTTTAAAAATTTGCATTTTACATTTATGTAAGTGTGCATATGCATGCCACAGCGTGTGTGTGTGTGTGTGTGTGTGTGTGTGTGTGTGTGTGTGCACGTTGTGTAGGTCGGAGAACCCGAGACCACATAGTGGAAGGAGAAAACTGACTTTCACAAGCTGTTCTCTGACCTACACACACATCAAAACTTGGGCTGTGGCAAATGTTTTTATTCACTGAGCCATCTCATTGGCCCCACATAGCTTCTTATTTTACTAAAGCCAGCAAATAAGACAGTAAGGAGTGGGTTAGCAAAGCACTCACAGTAGCGCAAGCCTTTAATCCCAGAACGTGGGAAGCAGAGGCATTCCAATCTCTGTGAGGTCAAGGCCAGTCCAGGCTATATTTTGAGACCCTGTCTCAACTAATTAATTAAAAAATAATTAAAGGGCTCAAGCTAAGGTTCAGGGGTTAAGAGGACCAGAACTCACAGCTGCCTGTTTCAGGGGATCAGCTACCTCTGACTTCTGAGGGCATCTGCACATATGTGCGTACTCACACACATGTTTTAGAAATATCTTTAAAAGAGTAGGTAGCAAGATGGAAATTGCAGTCATCTCATGGAATGATAGACGTGACATCCCAACACACTTGCTGTTTTCTGCTCACGAGAAGCACGTTGTTGGGTTCAGTCCACATCCAGGGAGGGGTCGTTCACTGGCATCAACATCAGGAGGAACTGTTGGAGCTATTTTTCCTTTTGTGATCCTCCTGCCTCTGCTTCTCTCAGCAAGTCCTACCGGCATGCGCCACCACAACCGTCTATTTTCCTTTTGTGGTAATGAAAGAATAGAATCAAGGAGAGTAGTAGTTTCCTTTGAGAAGACTGAGAGAGGGGAAAGAAATTCAGTTGGTTTATGTTATTTGTAATGGTTTCATTCTGGGGGCAGGCGGTGGGGCTATGCATGTGAATTATTTATGGAACCAATGGCTAAATAATATTAAGAATGTGCTGAGGGGGGTGGAAAGATGGCAAAGTGGTTAAGAGAACTGTTGCTCTTCCAGAGGACCTGGGTTCAATTCCCAGCACCACATGGCAGCTCACAACTGTCTGTAACTCAAGTTCTAGAGGATCCAACATGCTCACACAGACATACATGCAGGTCAAACACCAATGCACATAAAATAAAAGTAAATGATTTTTAAAAGAATATGGTGGGGACTGTATCTCCGTTGGTAGAATGTTTACCTAGCACACACAAAGCCCTGTGAACAGTCTGTAGTACCACATGGTTGCCAGTACCTGTAATCTTAGTACTTGGGAGACAGAGACAAGAGGACTGAAAATTCAATATTATCCTTGGCCACATAGTAAATCCATAGCCAGCCTGGGCTACATGAGACCCTGTTTCCAAAAAAAAAAAAAAAAAAAAAAGGTGGGAGTTAGGAATTGTCTTTGAGGAGACACCAGGGCCAAGGCAACTTTCAAAAGAAAGCATTTGGGGATGGAGAGATGGCTCAAAGGTTAAGAGCACTGACTGCTCTTTCAGAGGTCCTAAGTTCAAGTCCCAGCAGCGACATGGTCACTCACAACCATCTATAAGAAATCTGTATACATAATAAATAAAATCTTTGGGCTGGAGAGATGGCTCAGTGGTTAAGAGCATTGCCTGCTCTTCCAAAGGTCCTGAGTTCAATTCCCGGCAACCACATGGTGGCTTACAACCATCTGTAATGAGGTTTGGTGCCCTCTTCTGGCCTGCATACATACACACAGACAGAATATTGTATGCATAATAAATAAATATTTTTTTAAAAAAGCATTTAATTGGGGTTTTGTAGCTTTTTTTTTTTTTTGAGACAGGGTTTCTCTGTATTGCTTTGGAGCCTGTCTTGGAACTAGCTCTTGTAGACACTGGCCTCGAACTCACAGAGATCTGCCTCCTGAGTGCTGGGATTAAAGGCATGCGAGCATAATTAATAAGAAATCAGAAACAGAAATTTGGGTTCAACCTGAAGGTCAGAAAAGCAAAACAGCCAGCCACTGGCTCTCACCTCTCTATCTCAGTCCAAAATGGCGATCCTGCTTCCAGGAATCTCAGAGTGAGACAGTGTGAGAGCTGTCTCCTCCCGTTTTATATTCCTCTCTAGTGTAGAGCTGTCCCCTCCCATCTTATAGTCCTCTCTAGTGTACCTTTAATCTAGGGATTAAAGGTGTGTACCACTGCTACCTGGTTTCTATGGCAAATTAGCGTGGCTACTGGGATTAAAGATGTGTGTCACCACTTCCTGGTCTGTAAAACTGACCAGTGTGGCTGTTTTACTCTCTGAACTTCAGGCAAGCTTTAGTTATTAAAATGCAAATGAAATATCACTATAGGGCTTCCTTACAGTTCCAGAGGGCGAGTCCATGATCATCATGGCGGGATCTTGGTGGCTGGAAGGCAAGGTGCTGTAGCTGTAGCTAAGAGCTCACGTAATCTGCAAACTGGAGGAAGAGAGGGAGCAAGACTGGCCTTGGCAGTGACTTTTGAAACTTCAAAGTCTACCTCAATGATAGGCCACACCTCCTCCAACAAGGCCACACCCACTCCAGCAAGGCCACACCCACTCCAGCAAGGCCACACCCACTCCAGCAAGGTCACACCTCCTAATCTTTTGCCTACAGTCCCATTAACTAGGAATCAAACAAAAATTTAACAGCAAATTAAAATAATCAGGCTGGTAAGATGGCTCATCAGGTAAAGGCACCTTGAGTTCAATTCCCAGGACCCTCATTGTAGAAGGGAGAACTTCCCTTCTACCCGCAGGTTGTCCTCATCCTCTGAATTCATGAATTCTGATTTCCTCTGGTTTATACATTCCGTAATTCCCCAAATGTTTAAAGATGAGTACAAAACAGACTGACAATCTGTAGAAGAGAAAGCGTGCAAATGACATCTAAAAATTGCTACTTAATGTTTTGAGTAGATTAAGCATGCCCATGATTTTAAAAAAACTCACGCAAATAAAAATAAAAATGAAAAATGCAAAGTCTGCGGATTTAAAACTGGAAAGGATGCTGAGCATCCTTCCAGAATGTTTTTATTTTTTTGAGATAGGGTCTCTCTGAGTAGTCTTCAACTCAAAATTCTGTGCATTGACTTCCTGAGTGCTGGGATTATAGGTAAGCACCAAGCACACCTATAATACCAGCAGTAGGTGGGATTGCAGCGGGACTTGTCCTGGAGCTCACTCTGTAGACCAGGCTGGCCTTGAACTCACAGAGATCTGCCTCTTGAGTGCTGGGATTAAAGGTGTGCGCCCCCTTCACCAGGCTATATTTCTTTACACGCAGGGAAGTGTGTTGCATTCTGTGTTCTGCACCTCTTGTAGATCTGTGGGGATTAATTTTATGAACGAATTTAACTGGGCCACAGGGCATCCGGTTACTTAATCAGCCTTGTTCTCAGTGCTCTGTGAGAGCGTTCTGGGACATTAGTGGAGAGAAGCAGACTGCCCTGTCTTCTGCAGGTAGGCTGGCCTCACCCAGTCAGTTGAAGGACTTGAGTAGAACTCAAAGGCTGATCGTCCCTTAGATATGAGAGAATTCCTACAGCCCAGTGGCTTTTGCAGTGACACCTCAGCCCCACCCATCTTTCTCTTCAGACTCAGAGAACAACACTGCTCTTGCTGAGTCTTGAGCCCAAGCCTAACGGCTTTTGTTCCAGAACTACCCCATCAGCTCTCCTCATTTTCAAGCCTCAGAACCTACACAGGATCCGAATGGATCATTTACCTCCCTCACCTCTCTATCAAGTCACCCTGTGACCAGAGGGCTCACCAGTTACTGTAATCGTGCCAGCCAACTCCTTAGACCAAAGGAATCACTCAGGCCCTTTCTTTCAGTTCTGCTTTTGTGCTGACTTCA